AGACATTGTGCTACATGTTTTACATGTTATTTCATTTAATCCTTAAAGCAAGTATGAATTGAGTATTATATTTCCAATTTAATAAGGATTAGACCCATTTAAAAAAACAAGATAACATTACATGCCTGTCAGAATAGCCAAAGTCCAAGACAACAATACACCAAATGCTGGCAAGGCTATGGAGCAACAGCAACTGTTTGGTATTGCTGATGGTAATATAAAATGGTACAGCCATTTTGGAAAATGGTTTCGTAAATTCTTATAAACATACTCTTACTATATATGCTCTAGCAATTGTGGTATTTACCCCAATTAATTAAAAACCTCTATCTACACAAAAACCCACACACAGATGCATACAGAAAGTTCATTCATAATTGGCAAAATTTGGAAGCAACCAAGCTGTCCTTCAGTAAGTGAAGGGATAACTAAACTGTGATATATCCAGAGAATGGAATATTATTTAGTGCTAAAAAGAAATGAGTTATCAAGCCATGAAAAGACATGGAAGAATCTTAACTGCATATTACTAAGTGAAAAAAACAATCTGAAAAGGCTATATACTATATGATTCCAACTACATAACATTCTAAAAAGGCAAAATTGTGGAGACAGTAAAAAGATCGGTGGCTGCCAAGGTTTGGGTGAAAGATGAATGAATAGGCAGAACATAAAGGATTCTTAGGGCAGTGAAATTACTCTGTGTGCTTGGGTGGATGGATGACATACATTTGCTGAGTCCCATAGAATATACTGCACCAAGAGTGGACCCTAATAGAAACTCTGGATTTGGCGGGATGAGCGTGATGTACTAGATTGACAACCCATTGACAGTGGGGTTGTACATGCATGGAAACAGAGGGTACTCTGTACTTCTCACTCAGTTTTACCACGAATTTAAAACTGTTCTAAAAAATAAGGCATATTTTTTAAAAGCACTGCCCAAAAAAGCACATACTTACCCCCAAAAGAAAAGACCCCATAACTTAGATAACTCAAGTCAGAAACTTTCTGCATTACTTTCCTTTAGTTATTATCAAGCCATCTTTCTGCTTTCCAGAGTTGGCAAGGTACTGAGAATTCCCTTAAGTATGTGACTGGGTTAGAATATTTATTTTGGATGTAGAAGACTAGAGGCAGGGGTTTGGGGCTATGAACTCAGTGAGACAGAAAACAGGTAGGTTTCTTTACGATGACAGCAGCTCTGGGAACTTGGTACGAGGGTGGGATTGGGATGAGAAAGAGAGAGAGAGAGAGAAAACAGGAGTGTCATAATGGACCCACTTATGCTAGGAGGGACAAGGAACTTTGGAAACAGTTGTATGATAAACAATTTTGATTCTTGTCCTTAATGTTAATTCTCTGTTATGCCAGAATCATCAGTAAAACTCTATTGCGTTGGACAATGGTATTCCACGTAATGAGCATGTGAAGGTGGGGCGGACATAGAACTAAAATGGGGAGGGGTTGGCGTGGGCGGCAAAGCACAGTAGAAGCAGGACAGCAGCGGGCAATAGTCAAGGCTAATGGGCTAAAAGCCGATGTGGCTTAGAAAGTGTGTGGTGACTTGGACAGGCAGGCAATAAAATGCAAGCAGAATAGATGGCTGGAGGCGTCTGCATTTTGATCTCTGCTCTGTGCTATCTCCTCAGAGAAGCCTGCTATGATTAAAAGTAGACCAACACAAGGCAAAATTCACTGACCTCTTTGATTTTTCTCTATAGTACTTAGCACTTGTATTTGTCTTTCTCATTATGCCAGAACAGGGGTTCTCATGGGGTGATTTTGACACCCAGGGGATATTTGGCAGTGTCTAGAGATATTTTTGGTTGTCACAGTTGAAGGATGTTCTCTACTGGCATCTAGTGGGTAGAGGTCAGAGGGGCTACTTAACATCCTAGAGTGCCCAGGACAGCCCTGCTAAATGCTAGCACCAAATACCAAGAGTGCTGAGGTTGAGAAACTGCACTAGAAAGAAAATTCCTAGAGGAAAAAACTGTCTGTGTGTTGTATATTTATTATAGTATTTATAATAGGACCTGATACACAGTAGGCACTCAGTAAATGTTAGTTGAAAGGTTGATCATCATTTAAGTCCTCATTTTTCTAACTTGAAATAAGAACCGGTTTCATCTGGCCCCATATTTGCTCCCAGCTATATATCTGTCTCTACAATTTGCAAAAGAGCAATAATTTAAAACATGTGAATGCATCCAGACCAGGAGAGCTCCTTCCACATGATTTCTCCCTGAAAATTCCCTCTACTTAGTCTATACAGATTTAAGCATGGGATTGGGACAGTTAGAAATACTGAAATAAACAAATATTCCACCTATTTGAGTTGGGGTTTGCAAAGAGAGTTCTACCCACTCATACCCTAAGTGACTGGGACAGAAGGAAAGCATAGCAATCATACTGATAACTGATCAGAGCTGTGCCTGCAGACTGGGTAATAAACTCTAACAAGCCTGAAAGCTCATCAACCTCTAAATGCAAAGCCCTCTAACCACTGAGCATCCAGCACCAGAACACTTTTCTAAGAACTTCATCCCTATTTTGCATGACAGACTACTTTACTGACATCAGTGGTAATCTAATACAATTTAGCACCATCATGCCTCTCCAGCTTTCAAGAAAATTGCAATTAACATTTCAGAATTTCAAAGAAATGTGTCTAAAAGTACTGACCTAGAAGGAAGTGAGAGAGTTCAACACAGAATACTGTTATTTCAAAAATGCCCAGAGATATTCTTCCATTTGTAAAATCAATATTATAACAAGAGGAAATAAAAATCTTAGTTTCTTTTTTTATTTACATGGGAAAACAACATGGCAGTTTGGACCAAAAGCCAAAGAATTTGACCATGATGACTGAGAAACTGTCCCAGGAAATAGCTAGTCCACATAAACACCAAAGTTCAATCACTGAGGCCAAGTTATCATCAACGCCCCTTTGGGTTACCTGATTCTCTTGCTGGTCCCACTGGCATATCTGCAGAACCTGAGCCAGCTCCTGATGCTGCTGCTTCAGGTACTTGTCTAGTTGCCGTCTCCTGTCTTGGAGAAGTTCAAGAAGGTTGTCGATCTTCAGACAGCTGCTATGAGCTTCCTGAATCAGCTTGGGATTCACATTAGGTCCATCACACTTGAATTTTTCTATGAAGTCAGTGAGTTGTTGACTTTTGTTTAAAAGGGCTAGAGATCGTTCTAAGAGTTCTGGAAGAAAAAATTAGAAAAAAAAAAGAATAGTGATATGAGCAAGTTTTTACATAGTAATGTTCGACCTCTTCATATAATTTAAAATACATGTAACCTTTATATTAACAATAAGTTATGCTGCAAAGAACCCAAATGTGTAAACAAAAAATGCCTGCAATACAACTAGTCATATAACTGCCATATAATTATATAATTCGGCCAAAGACGTGCTATCACGTTAACCACCAAATGATAGGAGACTGAAGTTCATTAATGGCATAATTCAGTGTAGAAAGTGGTAGAGAGTGGGACTTGAGCATTGGTTCAGTTTTAGTGGTATGATGCTGGTTAAGGTGCCTGCTCTCTGTGGAGTGGCCTAGACTTTGGGGTAACTGGACTAAATCGGAGGTTTAAAGGCTAATGCCTGCAGTGAGCAAACAAGAACAGAATATGGTACCAAGTGCCCAGGTGCCTGGGGCTCTGGCCAAGTGGAAAACGCTTGCTCAGTCTGACACAGTCAGCTGCCGCCCAGTTCTTACCAGCTGTTGACATGAAGGAATATGGGTTCAGTGTTGATGGAGCTTCCAATTTATTAAGGAATTATAAACACAGACTTTTATATGAAAGCTTCTGATTTTAAATGTTTTGTAATCCATTTTTTAAAATTAAAAATTACTGAAAGATAAATAAAACATATCTGTCTGCCAAACAGGCCACCAAAGTTTGTGATCTCTGGAGTAAATAGAATTGCAGATTTGGGTAACATCTTGTAGAAATGGGAGTTTAAGCCTGAAAATTAAAGGATTCCCCAAGGGAGAAAGTATAGAAAGAGGAGTTGAGAGCAGCATTTTGAGGAGAACTCACATTTGGAGAACAACTGTAAGAGCAGTTGGGGGACTGTCTACTTTCCACAAGCTGGAAATCTGGGAGTCATGCATGATATTCCTGTCCCCAATTCCATCATTATCAAGACCTGTCAATTTCACCCTCTAATTCCTACATTGTCTACTTCTCTCCATCCCCACTACAGAAAACACCATCCATTGCCTGGATCTGCACTATCTTCTCCTAATAGTATTCTCTCTCCAATCCATTCATCCTTTCTCCACATAATCAGCTAGAAAGTTCTTTCCTAAACACACCGTCTGTCTGTCCCTCTCTCTCTCTCTCTCTCTCTCTCTCTCACACACACACACACACACACACACACACACACACACACACACACACAATAGTGGCTTCCCATTGCCTTAGAATTAAGGACAGGCTCCTTAACCTGATTTACCAGGTCTAGCACGAATGATCTGGTCCCTATCTTCCCTTTTAGATTGTCTCAATCTCTTTATCCTTCATCGCTATATACTCCCTCCTGCCCCAGAAATTTTCACTGTGTCCTCTGCCAGGAATGCCATTCCCTCACCCCCTTCCTTCTCCACCTTCATTCTGCTCATGCTTCAGGTCAATTGTCAATTTTGCCAGGGACAGACCAGGCTGGACCAAATCCTCCTAGCACTTGTTCTCATAGCCCAGTGTTCTCATTCACAGATCTTATGAAGGTTATATTTTTACATTTATGTTGTAGGTTTGTTGATTAATATCTGTCTGCCACTAGTTCCAATGCAATATGAAGACAGGGACCATGACTTGTATCCTTAGCACTTAGCACAGTGACTGGCACAGAGGCTGTGTTCAATAATTTTTGTAGAATGCTTGAATGAAATCAAATGTATTTAAAAAGGGGGAAGAATTTGGAGAGCTCAGCAGTCCACCAGAGATGTATAAAAGGGATGTTGAGGCGGAAGATGGCTGCGGCTGAGGCTGCGGACACTCAGCTGATGCTCAGAGTCAGTCTGATCGTGACCATCTTTCCACCGTAGAAAAGGACACAAATGGAGAAGTTCTGTGGGTGTGGTGCTATCCTTCCACAACAGCTCCTTTAAGGAAACTGCTGCTGAGAAAATGCTGCCTTACAGATGAAAACAAACTTCTCCACCCTTTCGTCTTTGGTCAGTACAGAAGAACATGGTTTTATATCACAACAATTGAAGTTCCAGATTCTTCAGTCTTGAAAAAGGTGACTCATTTTTCTATTGTTCTGACTGCCAAAGATTTTAACCCAGAGAAATATGCCGCCTTCACTAGGATATTGTGTAGAATATACCTGAAACACGGGAGCCCAGTTAAAATGATGGAGAGCTACATCACAGTTCTCACAAAAGGGATATGCCAGAGTGAAGAAAATGGCTCTTTCCTTAGCAAGGACTTGATGCCCGAAAAGCATACCTTGCAGGCTCCATCAAAGCCATTGTATCTCAGTTTGGAATGGAAACTGTTATCTTACACACAGCACTGATGCTAAAGAAAAGAATCATTGTCTATCACCCCAGAATAGAAGCCGTGCAGGAGTTCACCAGAACTCTGCCCACCTTGGTGTGGCATTGACAGGACTGGACCATACTTCATTCCTATTTGCACCTCAGAGCTGATGAGCTGGAAGCTCTGCAGATGTGCACAGGTTATATCGCTGGATTTGTAGACTTGGAGGTGAGCAATAGATCAGACCTCTATGATGTATTTGTGAATCTGGCAGAAAGTGAGATTATCATTGCTCCACTTGCAAAAGAAGCCATGACAATGGGCAAACTGCACAAAGAAATTGGTCATCTAATTGTTCAGTCTGCAGAAGATCCAGAGAAATCAGACAGCCAGGTTATCCAGAATATTTCCCTAAAAACAAGAGAAATCTTCTCCAGCCTGGCTCCTTTTTCAGAAGTTTCGGGTGAAGGAGAAAAGCATGTTCTCAACTTTGAGGCGCTAAAGCAAAGACGATTCCCACCAGCAACAGAAAACTTCCTTTACCATCTTAGCAGCAGCTGAACAAATGCTGAAAATCTGACTGTGTGACAATTTATCACTGATGACTGATATAGAGCTATTTTACCATGATTATCCATTAACTATGTAAAATACTGGAAATAACAAAGAAAATGTTATATTTTTAATGCTTTATTTGAAAGGTGAGGTTTAACCTGAAAGAGCACTGAAACATACATGTGAACACTTGTGATTTTCTATCTTGTTAGTTCATGCCTCCTATCAATGATGGACAAAGTGCTGTAACTACCATATACATTGTGAAATGGCCTGGTGTCTGGAGTAAGTGAAAGCAAGCTCTGTCAAGTTCTTAGGCAATTACAGCAAATCTGTAGCCTTCATTATTATTAAGTTCCAGTTTGTCTCACTGTGTTGCCACAAACTAATAGTTTATTTTCAGAAAGCTGCCTGAAATTTTGCTTTCTACTCTTATAGGAAAAACTTTAATTCCTCATGAGGAACTCTTACTTTCTGAGCCAAACTACTAAGTTTTCTGCAGAACTGTCTAGAAGATCATTCAAAAGACCCTGCAGTTGCACTTTTCTTGTAAAAGAAAAAAAAATTATTTCTTGGCCTTTGAACATTTTGCCTATATTATGAGGGTTTTGCATAAATTTTATACTTGAGTCGACAACTTTAATAATCCATATTTATATTGTTGCAGAGGTAAGCATTTAGCAAACTTAAGCCATTAGTACTCTCCACTTAACCCTGTTGCTAGCAATATTGTTTTGAACAAGTTGTCACTCTTTAGGATAGAGTAAAAAAAGCAGCCCATTTCGAATATAAATGTTTGTGTGACAGAAACAGCAACTCTGTGTACTTGGGAAGGGAATTTGAGAATTAACTTCTTGCAATGACCAGAACCACAGAATGTCTTCAAACAATTTCAGTAAAAGTAATTTGCCCACACAGGAAGAGAACCACTCCAGTTCAGTTATGTACCTTTTTCATAATTGGAGACCTAAAAATCACAAGCAGGGAGGCCTAAATTCTGAACTTTTTATTTTATTGTATGTATTCATATTAATTATGAAAGTTTATTTTACACTCAGTACTGTTGTCCTTAGAAATCATACTCAGAAAAATGTTTGCAAAAATATCTTGTCTTTATCTGATCTTTCATTTATTCTTGGTGTTAGATATTTGTAAAGTAAAAATCAAAAATAGCCTTTTCCCTCCCTCCTTGGATGGGGGCAGGTGAGGATCTGAAATGAGATGATGTTTACTAAGGCAAACAATTAAAAATTAAATCTGCACTTTATGAAAATGAATACTAACATCTTTTTTCTCCCTCATTTTTTGTATTACCATAGTAGCTAATGATCAAAGTTGTTAAAATTACAAATATGATACAGAAATAAAATGGAAATATTTTGATATTCAAAAAAAAAAAGAGATGTTGAAAGGACTTGGAATTGTGTGATGGGTAAGTTATAGAAGCAGAAGCCAATTCCCAGATTGAGAAATGGAAAGGAAGTGATGAAGTGAGGTCAACACGACAGGACAATCTTTGAGATATTTGTTTTTAGAAGAAAAGAAAAAGGACAGAATACCAGCAGGGTTGGATATACTACTTTTTGTTTTTAGGATGTGGGAGAACTGTGAGGAACAGCTAGACATAAGTACCCCACCAAGTATCACACTCCCGGAAATGGACCATCCAGGGTAAAAGCCACATGTACTGAGGAGCACCCAGCGTTCTTCCCCCTGTGCCGCGGCGCCCTGCTTGAGCATTCTGACATTCAGCAGCACTGACACCTGGAGCACTGGAGGAGAGAATGAAACAAATGAAAATACTGTAGAGAGACACTTTGAGATGAAAAGGAAGGACTGGAAGTATTTACGGTACATGACCTAGATCTGTCCACCAAGGTATAAAATGGAGTTATCTGCTTAGAGCACAGAAGGTGTGATTATGCGCACTGGGTGATTTGATTGGGAGTCTACAGTGAAGAGAAGCAAGTAACAAAAACAACCATGGACTTGGACCAGCATGGAGGATGGCATAATTAAAATAGAATAGGAAAAGTCAGGGAGGACATTAAAATTAGAGTAAATCTCTTGAAGAAATGGAAGAAAACATGAACAGCATAGGAGGGGCTGAGGCAGAAGAAAGCCTATTTGTCTAGAACAAGTTTTTATATGAAAGTGAAAGAAATAATTGGAGAAATGAGGTGAAGACAGGTTATAGAAGGCCTTGCCTAGCAAACTGAAGAGTTTTAATTTGTATAGCCTTAATGTAATAATCAGTATGACTAATTATATATACATCTCCTTTGCACTAAAAAGCTTGTTTTGATAATGTGAACAGTTACACTGACAAACACACCAAAAGTATAGGCAGGTGACAGGGATTCCACATAGTATTTCCTTTCTTCCTTTCCATAACTAGCCCTTACATGCTAGACTTTTCAAATGAGAGAGGGAAGCACAATTTTAGGTGCTTGATGTATTGCAGACTGACAATGGAACAAGCCACCCTATTCTGGTTCTCATAAAATGCACATAATTAGCCAAATTTTCCATTTAAGAGCTTTTTCTGGTTTTCTGCTTCAACTTCTGCCAAAATAGTATAACCCCTAACACAGTACTACCAGTCATTCAGCTTTTTGAGCCAAAGTTAACTTGTAAAATGTAGCCAATCTAAAATCACTTTGCCATTGCTACTACTATAGATAAATTATTCCATCGGTTCTGTCAATGCCTTTGGTTCCTCCTCTGTCAGTTTCTTACACTTCGCTATTTTACTGTTTATATTTTCCTAGCTATTTATTCCATCAGCTTATCATACAAAGTCATGTATTTTTTTCTCAAGGGTAAAGTATCTAGATATATCATGACCTTCAAGAAATACAAAATCTCTGTAGAGCATTTATTTCAAAGATTGTGTGTTTTGCTTATAAACAGTCTGACTTACTGATGTAATACCCTGTGATGTGAGGCTAGTAGATACTTAATAAATTGTTATTGTTTGTTTAATTTATTATATCTGAAAATGTAATATTAAAGTGCATTTTATATTAATAATTATACAGTTTTCCAGAATTTTTAAGTGTAAATAACAAATTCAAGATGGATAAGTGATGGATGTACATAAGTTAAGTGAATTTGTTGCTTGCTAAACTATCTTTGCAAATGAGTATTTTCTAAAAAGCATCAAGGTCTGAGTCTTGACATTGAGCTCATGGGTGATATTTCTTCCTAACACACTTAAAAATATTCCAAATGTTCCTCAGTGGGATGGTGTTTCTTAAACTCATTTGATGGGCATTTTCAAATGTACACAAAAGTAGAGAGAATAGTATGAGGAACCCCAATAAAACTATATCTCGGCTATGTTAAAAATACATATGCATATAAATCTAAGAGCAAGGAAATACTATGATTGTTCCTGCAAAGAAGCTCTTTAGGTATTATGTTAATTTCAAGAAGACCATTGGCAGACTGGAGCACACAATTGGGATTCTTCAGAGCTTACAACCAATTTTTTTCCTCCTTCATGTCCCAATGTACTTTGCATCATTCTGTCATGTCTAACACTGGAATTAAAAATATCACTCAATAAACATACTTTGGGTTGGATGCTATTCTAAATCCTGGAGATTCAAAGATATACTAATCCCTTCCCCCCAGAATTTCACAATCTGGTGATGGAGATAAATAAGGAAATTCATTATTACTATACAGTATGTTGGGTGGTGTAATAGAGAGACCCACAGCAAGCACAGTGGAAAACTAACCAATGTGTACATGCCCCACCAAATTGCAACTCCTGAGGCCAAGGGTCATATACTCCCCTGACACATGGCACTGAGTTTCTCCCATGGCATGGGTTCAGAACATATTGCTTAATTACATGTTGTTGAATTGAGGGCAACCAGGCTATAAGTGGTCTGGAAATCATGTTTTCTGGAAAAGACTTTAATTAGGCATGTTTCACTCAAAGGAGAAAAGACTAGACAGGACAAGTTAGTCTTCAACTATTTTGAGGATTATCACTTGGGGGAAGGAATAAGTTTATTCTGTAACATTCCAGAGGGCAGGAAATTCAGTCATCCTGCTTCTGACCTCCACAGTGTTACAGTGTGTTTCATGCAACACAACATTAACACTGCTGAACAAGGAAAAGGCATGGGTGAAGCTAACTGAAATAAAGTAAGTATTAGGGATAAGTTTGATTACAGTTTTTCTAGCTATGTTATTAACCTTTGTCATCCTAACATTCACATGTTGTGGTTCACTGATCACTCTCAGAACCTTATTAGAATTGTCAGCTACACTTACACATGTATTTTATTTCTTTAAATTTACAGATAATAGATACTGCTTTGGTCTGAATGTTTGTGTCTCCCTAAAATTCATACATTGAAATCCTAATGCCCAATGTTGTAGTATTAGGAGGTAGGTCCTTTTTGGGTGATTAGGTCATGATGATGGAATCCTAATGAATGGAAACTCTCATGAATGGGAATCTTATCAACAGACCTCACAAAGCTCCCTAGCCCCTTCCCATGTGAGGATACAATGGGAAATCTGCAACCCAGATGAGGGTCACCTGACCATGCTGGCACCCTGCTCTCAGACTCCCAGCCTCCTGAACTGTGAGAAACAAATTTCTGCTGTTTGTAAGCCACTCAGACTGTGATATTTTATTACAGCAACCTGTACAGACTAAATAAGAGTCCTTACCTGCAAATCAGAATTTTGTCCTTGAATATGCATTTCAAATTAACTAATCTTAATCATACCTCATGGAGCTAGTTGGTTAGTGAATTTCATCAACTTCCATTTTATGAAAACGAAGCCTTGAAGCCACCATTGGGCATATGAATTGAGAGCCAGGTATCCTCACCAGAGACCCCTGCAATCCTTTTGCTTCAAGTATCACATCGAGGGACACAAAAAAATGTCATAATAAATATGCCATCAGGATGGAAGAATATTTCCTTGTTACAAAAATAAGCTGTTTCCTATCTTCAGCAAGCATTTTTATCCATCTCTTCAGGTTAAGTGGAGGCCTGGTGGACCCTCAAAGACCTACCCCTGAAAGGCAGGACATTGCGTCCACTGTCAGCCAGACGCCAGGGCACTGCAGTCCAAGGCCTCTAGACAAAGCAGTACGTGCCGCATGTAAACTCACTCACTGTGCCGCAGACCCTGGTAACCCTGAAGGAACCACCATCAACAATATAACAGCATTAAGTCTACTTCCCCACTCCCAGCTGCATCTGTAAATGGAAAAGTCCTTACTTCCACAGCCCTCCAATCCCTGGGGATAACGCTTTCATTCGATTGCATCAGTACTGAACTCTTCAACAAAAGCATCAGTCACTGTCACATTTCTGGATGTAAAATTGCTGTGTGATGATCTTGTTGGTGGGATGAAGACTGAATCAAGAGACCACAGAACCCATTTCAGTGACCTAAACTCCATTCATTCTCCAGTATCCTAAGAGAAATTTCATGTGATTCTGTTCACCCGCTTAGGACCCAGCTAGATTGATACTGCTGTATAAAAATGGTAGGCTGCTGCTTTAATGCTCATACTTCTGATGTGTTTATAACCCCTGTTAGTGATAGATCATACAGAACAATAATCAGTTAAAATTACTGGTATATATATATATATATAGTAGGATCTCATAAAAAGTTACATAGGAAAGATTGAGTCCTCTAATTCTCTGAGTTTTGGAAAAGTAAACATCTATTATTTATGGTCCCTCAGAGAATGACATGAACACAAAAACTATCTGTGACTTTAAAAGCACCTTTCCCCCCCATCCAGCATGATCAGGCTTGTGGAGCTAGAAGTCAAGTTAGAGCTGTGACAGATGAGTTCAGGAAGTCGTTCCACCCATACCCAGTTCCAGCTAGCAGTAATAATGAGAAGAATGCACTAGGAAGAAAAGAATTGTTCCTATCTCTATTTATCTAACTTGCCTTCACAGAAAAAGCTTACAGTAAGCAGCTTCCCTTCCATAAATGCTTATCCTACTACAGTCATGCATACCCCAAACTCTGGTGGAAAAGGCCTAACATGCAATTTGTTCATTAACAACTAGACAGACACCATAGTTGTTTGGAGGGAGAAAAATCATTAGATTTTTTCTCTGGAAAAGTTCATTACTCCTTCTTTAAAAATTTATAACTGAACTAGTTAAAGAGGGATTTTCCTTATCCAGAGCTGTTCTTTAAACATTGGCCCTCATTTTACTGACCCTGAGAAGCAACATGCACTGAATTCAACCATTTATTCAACCAAGAAATATTTCTTGAG